ATTGCTAAGCGCCGCATTGGCATGGTCATGGACGTCGCTCGTACGTCCATGATGCATGCGGCTGCCCCCCATTTTCTGTGGCCGTTTGCGGTTCGGTACGCGGCGCATCAGATCAACCTTCACCCCAGGGTCTCCAGACCGGAGACCTCCCCAGCCTTGCTGTGGACGGGGAAGGTCGGCGATGCGTCTGCGTTCCGTGTCTGGGGATCTCGGGCGTTTGTCCGCGACTTGTCTGCGGACAAGCTGTCCCCTCGTGCTGCTCCCTGTGTCTTCCTGGGGTTCCCCCCTGACGCCCCTGGGTGGCAATTCTACCACCCCACCTCTCGACGTGTTCTTTCCTCCGAGGACGTCACGTTCGACGAGTCAGTACCCTACTACCGCCTCTTCCCCTACCGCACTCCTTCCCTCCCCCCGCCACCGCACTTCATTGTGCCAGGTCCCCCCCCGGTAGACCCCCTCCCCCCTCAGGGTCCTGCCCCTTCAGGTGTGTCCCAGGTAGATGCAGTTGAGCCGGTCGAGGTTGCTGGTGACTCTGGTACTGCTGCGGGTGCTGAGCCTGGGGGTGCTGACTCTGGGGGTGCTGCGCGCGTGGGTGCTGAGCCTGGGGGTGCTGCGTCTGGGGATGCTGCGACTTGGGATGCTGAGCCTGGGGGTGCTGAGCCTGGGGGTGCTACGACTAGGGGTGCTGAGCCTGGGGGTCCTTTGCCTGGGGGTACTGCGTCTGGAGCTGCTGAGCCTTGGGGTGCTGGGTCTGGAGCTACTGAGCCTGGGAGTGCGGAGCCCGTGGCCGCAGGACCTGCTCGTGTGGCGTCTGGCGGTGCTGGGCCTGCTGGTTCTCCGGTTGCTTCGTCTCGACGGGAGCCACTCTCTCCACAGGAGCTGCGCGAGTGGTTTGCCCGGCGCTGGAGGCGTACTACTGGAGCTGGTGCTTCTTCGGCTGCTGAGGGTGCTGGTGCCGCCGGTCTCGGAGGTGCTAGTCCTGCGAGTGCTACTGGAGTCGGAGCTGCTGAGGGTGTTGGCGCTGAGGCTACTGCTGTCAGTCCTAGCGGCGGTCCTGCTGCGGGTGCTACTGGTGCTGCTGGAGGTACTGGAGGTGGAGGTGCTGTTGACGCTGGTGCTGCCACTGGGGGTACTGGTGCTGTCCCTGCTGTGTCTGGAGTCACCGCGCGGCCTCGGCTGTACTTTGTTCCGCTCCTTCAGCAGGTTCTTGGTCTTCCTCCTCCCTTAGAGTATCCACCGCCTGTCCAGTCGCAGTCGCAGTTACCACCGGTCTCCCCACTGCCTTCTCCTTCTCCGTACACTGGTCCTACTGGAGGTCTTGCTGAGCGTCGTGAGCCTGCGTCTCGTCCTGCGTCGCCTGTTCGTGCTGCTCGCACTAGTGGTCACAGTTCGCGTCAGCATCCTCCTCCTGTCCCTGGCACGCACCGGATGTCTCTGCGTCCATCCACTGCTCCTCTGCGTGCCCCTTTGCCCTTTCCTCCTGAGTCCTCTCTTCCTGTGCTTGCCGACCCTGAGTCGGACTCTCTTCGTGCTGCCAGTCCTACTGTCACGCGTCTCCTTGCTACTGTCGTCACTGACCCCTCCTTTGAGTCCACTGCTGCGTCTGCTCTTGTTGCTGAGCTCGTCGACTTTGCTGCTCGCTGTCGTCTAGACTACGCTGCTAGTCTCGTTGCTGAGTTTGAGTCTGTCTGTCCTCCGTCCGTCGGGGGTGAGTGTGCTCTTAGCACGGACGTCCTTGAGGACAGGCAGGAGGAGTTCCAGTGTCTGGCTGCTGCTTCACCTCATCTCGCGTCCGTACTGCTTACCCTTGAGGGAGACCCGGATGCACAAGACATCCCGACTCCGCGCTCTTACGTGGAGGCCGTAGAGGGTCCCTACTCCTCTCAGTGGCAGGCAGCTATGGATGCAGAGATGGCTTCCTGGAAGTCCACAGGCACCTACGTTGACGCGGTTCCCCCTCCTGGGGCGAACATCGTCAGTGGCATGTGGATCTTCAGGGTGAAGCGGCCGCTGGGCTCTCCACCTGTCTTCAAGGCGCGGTACGTGGCTCGTGGCTTCAGTCAGCGGCAGGGAGTTGACTACTTTCAGACCTTCTCTCCCACCCCGAAGATGACCACTCTTCGGGTGCTGCTACACGTAGCAGCTCAGCGTGACTACGAGCTTCACTCCCTTGACTTCAGCACTGCTTTCCTGCAGGGTAGCATGCATGAGGAGATCTGGTTGCGCCGTCCACCTGGCTTCACTGGGACTTTCCCTCCTGGCACCCAGTGGAGCCTCCGACGGCCAGTCTACGGTCTCCGCCAGGCACCGCGCGAGTGGCACGACATACTGAGGACTACACTTGCGGCTCTTGGGTTTGCTCCCTCTACTGCTGACCCGTCGCTGTTTCTACGCACCGACACCTCTCTGCCGCCGTTCTACATCCTCGTGTACGTCGACGACTTGGTCTTTGCCACAGCTGACACTGCTGGACTCGCCCACGTGAAGTTCGAGCTGCAGAAGAGACACACGTGCACAGACCTGGGTGAACTGCGCAGCTACCTTGGCTTGCAGATCACCCGGGACAGAGCATGCTGCACCATTACCCTGACTCAGTCACACATGGTGCAGCAGGTCCTTCAGCGCTTCGGCTTCACGTACTCCTCGCCTCAGGCCACTCCTCTGTCTACTCGCCACTCGCTCTCAGCTCTGCCTTCGGATGAGTCCGTAGAGTCGAGTGGCCCGTACCCAGAGCTTGTTGGCTGCCTCATGTACCTGATGACCTGCACACGACCTGACCTTGCATACCCTCTTAGCATTCTTGCACGCTATGTTGCTCGTGGGAGACACAGACCAGAGCACATGGCTGCAGCGAAGAGGGTGTTGCGTTACTTGTGCAGTACGTCGGGCATGGGGCTAGTGCTTGGAGGGCGGAGTCCAGTGGTCCTCACTGGGCACGCGGACGCTTCTTGGGCAGACGACCAGGCTACGCAGTGGTCGTCACAGGGTTACACCTTCAGCCTTGGTTCCGGCTCTGTTTCGTGGCGGGCTACTCGCTCGTCTTCTGTTCTCGGCTCCAGTTGTGAGGCTGAGATCTACGCCGGGGCCATGGCTGCACAGGAGCTTCGCTGGCTTACCTACCTGCTGACTGACCTCGGAGAGCCGCCTCGTTCCCCTCCGGTGCTGTACGTAGACAACAAGGCCATGCTAGCCTTGTGTCGGGAGCAGCGCCTGGAGCATAGAACGAAGCACATTGCTCTCCGCTACTTTCTTGCTCGTGAGTTGCAGCAGCGTGGTCAGTTGCGACTTGCGTACGTGGCCTCTGAGCCCAACACTGCTGATGTTTTCACCAAGGCACTTGCGCCTTGTGATCATCAGCGCTTCTGTACTCAGCTTGGTCTTGTGCCTGTCTTGCCTCACTTGCTCACCTCTTGACCTTGCTTGTACTGTTCCATATATATATACCTGCTCTTGCTTGTCTAGCTTTCTATATATATGTACTCATGCATGTGAACTGGCCTTGTGGCCTTGAACTTGTGTTCGGAATGTGTGGTGACTTTGTGATCCACCCTGAGCTTGCTTTGCTTTGCTTTGCTTGACTGGTCTTGTGACCGCTTGAACTCCCCCACTTTGCCTATGGGGGTGTGTCAGAACATTATAGCTTGTGCTTTTGTGTAGGCTATAGTGGGGTAGCCCATATGGGGTACAACCCAATTAGGGTTTGTACTTGTACCCAACTGTTTCATAGTTCATTCATTCTCGTTCTCATCTTCTCACAGCCGACTTTTTCTTCAACAGTTGCTCTGAACTGGTCGCCCACAGTGACGCACGTCCGTTGTCGCCAGCTGCCGGAACACATTCCGCGAGTCATGCGCGCAAAATGACGACGAGCCACCGTCATAAATTGCCGCATCAGACGAACTCTGAAATTGTCGCGCAGCTGTTGACCCAGGTCCGACGGCGTCAACTGCCACACACAGTGACGACGTCGAGGCTGTTCATGCAGATGCCGACGCAGGTCCGCTGACGCCAGCTGCCACACGAATCAAGCTCCGAAATCGTCGGAAATTGCAGCGGAAATTACTCACATAAACGTCGCGACAGCTACAGCTGCCCGTTACCCGGGGGGAGGGAGGCCACGGTCGATCGCGACCGTTCGATGTAAGGATCTGGCGGTGCCGAAGGAGTACCCGTAAAACCATGGCCGCGAGGAGCAACTAACTCATTCTCCTGGCCGGCCTTCGCAACTCCTGGACCCCAAGAGATCCTTCCTCGTCCCCCCCCCGAGGGGTATTACACTCTAAAAAGCGGGGTAGGCTAGGAAAGTAGCTCTGATACCAGGTGTTATGAATGAACTTGCAGAGTGCGCAGTAAAACGAATATCGAGAATGATTGAGTACTGAATTACTGAATGACTGAATGACCGAATGACGATACAATGAGAAAGGCACGACTAAATAGGGGAAGTCCTAGCTAGGCGGAGAGGTTGGGCGAGGATGGCTCGGTGATGGTTGCGATTGGAGCGGAGGCCGACTCGGGAGTGGTTCGGTGCGACGAAATAGGAAGGACAGGTTCGTCGCGTGACCCTCGGGATGTCCTCGCTAACGAGTGCCTCAATAAGGATTTGTAAATCCTTATAGCGAGTGAAACTAGCTGTTGCTGGGTTACCAATCTTTCAAATTTCAAAACTTTTGAACCTCCCTTTTTCAAATGTATACAAAAGCTTTAAGCAGTTGATGTAAGCACAAAAGCGTGTCTCGTACACCAAATTTGTTCTAATTGGTTCTCTAAGATGTTTAATGATCTTACTGCAAATGACCTACCCTAAAGATTCGTGTCATAATAAATAACATTTGCGTTCTTGTTGACATAGTAGCAGATCCCTTTACGATAAGCCTTATCCGGCTCCTCATCCGGGAGCAGATATTAGTATAGTAACCCTTGACCTGATCTCCAATAAAGAAGGTTCTGTGACGGCACTTGCGGAACCAACATGCTTCTTGTCAGACACAGGTCCCCATCTATTCAGCCTTTTTAGGCTCCTCCAGGAAAGGGTAGTCGATGTACCCCTTGACCTGGTCGGGGATGAAGAAGGTGATGCGGTCGTACGCGTTGAGCGGCGCGTTGAGCTCAAAGCGCCTCGGCAGGTCGGGGTTGGCGAGGAAGAGCCGGCCGTACGTGATCAGATCCGCTGCCCCGCTCTCAATCGCTGCCATGCCGCTCTCGCGCTGGAGATTTGGATAACAGTTGGGAATTTGGAAGGGGACGGGAGAGGAGAGCACAGTGGCGGATGGAGGGGGTGGAGATAGGGACGGAAGAGGGTGGGGTTGTGTGCATGCGTGATTACAGGGGTTTCATGGTAGAAGGGAAGCACAGACTATGGATAGAATGCAGCACACAAAAGGTACGTCTTGTAACACCGTAAGAAACTACAGGATCCATTGCTTTACAATCACACCATGACATTCACCTTATGCACATCAACAACAGCACAACAAGCTCTGGTGCTTGCATTGCCCTACATGCAACATTTCTTGCCACAACAGAGGAGTCAACACGCCAATGCAGCACTTGTGTCACAACAGACTGGACCCAACATACCTTGAAGCCGCCAGCAGCAATGAATGGCCCCTTGAATGCCTTGCGGAATGGCTCCAGAGTCTGCAGATATAGTGAGAGGCACAGAGTGAAGTGTGTAGGTGGCCACACGTCAACGGGTATCAAGAAACATTAAGACCCCTCGAGCATTTCGTAAGCCCCATTTCAAATGACAAGGCGCGGAAGTAAGCAAGCATAGAGTGATTTGTGCTATGTTCCCACCCACACCAACCACCACCATGCCTTACGTATCCCACCCCAACCCCACCTCCTTCACAGCCCAACCCCGTCTCCTTCACAGCATCGAACCTCACTCCCTTCACAACAAGGGAGCTCCTCCTCGCCTCTCACCTCCTTATCAACATCCAGGTCGTCATTCCCTTGCTCGCGGCCCTCCTCACAGCCTGAACGCCAAGCCTCACAGCCAGACAGCCCTCACACACCCACCGCTCGCCTACACACCGATCACCTCCTTCTCAACTTCCATGTCATCGTTGCCACGCACGTGCGCCTTGATGAATTGCACATACGCCAAGCCAAACAGCCTTACGGCCAGAGAGCAAGAGAGCCAGAGAGCCAGACAACCCTCACACCCACCACCTACCCATCGCGCACCTCCTTCACAGTCGCCGTGTCATCGTTGCCGCACACGCGCGCCTCAATTAAAATGCACACATGCCAGGCCCAAGCTGTTGACGGCCTCAACCATCCCAGTGCCTGTCACTACCAACTCAACTGTTACACACACGCGCACCGCTCACCTCCTTCTCAACTTCCATGTCGTCGTTCCCGCGCACGCGCGCCTCAATGAAGTGCACGTAGGCCAGCCCCAGGCCGTTCAGCCGCTCCACGAGCCCCACGTAGGTGGCGACGGGGTCGGAGTCGGTCTCATCCAGGAAGGTGCTGTACAGCGACAGCCGCACGCCCACCTCGTCCGCCACTGCCTTGAACACCTGGGGGAGGGGAGGGAAGGGGAACGGGGGTGGTGGCAGGCGGGCAAGGGGGGAAGGGGGATGAGTTTTGAGCCACCTTGCTGGCGCCCACCTCGTCCGCCACTGCCTTGATCATCTGGAAATGGAATCGGGGGGGGCATGGGGAGGCGTGGTGGGGTGGAAAGGACGCTCATTTGCCACCTTTCTAGCGCCCACTGCCTTGATCGCCTGGGGGAGGGGGGAGGGGAGAGGGGGGGGGGGATGGAGGGAGGAGGGGGGAGGGGAGAGGGGGGGGGGATGGAGGGAGGAGGGGGGTGGGAAATGGGGGGAGAAAGAAGGGGGGGATGCTGGCGCCCACCTCGTCCGCCACTGCCTTGATCACCTGCATGTGGGGGGAAGGGATTGGGGGGGCGGAGGGGGGGGATGTGGGGGAGGGGGGGGATGTGGGGGAGGGGGGGGATGTGGGGGAGATGGGAGGAAGAAAGGGGAAGGAGATGGGGGGAGGAGGTGGGGGGGAAGAGGGTTTTTTTCAACGTCTCGCTACAGCCCAACCGTCTCAAGATAACAAAAAGGTAGGGGGCACTGACAGTCTATTACCAGCGACCCATGCACTCAACCCCATGGGTGATGTTTCCACACACCACAATTGGCCGACAATCCTCCCTCAAGTCACAGCAGCTGGACCCACCTGCAGGGGGAAGCGAAGCCTGTTCTCCAAGGACCCTCCAAACTCGTCCTTGCACTTGTTGGAGCCGTCCTGGCGAGGTGGAGAGGCGAGGGGACGCGGAATCACAGGAATGGGCGAGAGGAGGGGGGGGGGGGGGGGGGGGGGGGGAGGATGGGGCGGGGAGAAAGAGTGGCGGTGGGTTGTTGAGAGGGGAGGTATGAGTGAGGTGTCTGAAATTGTTGCGGTGAGGTGTGAGCAGGAATAAAAAACCGCTTTGGTGCTGTCGTGGACACCTTAGCACGAGCGGGATTCACCTTGGTGCGACACGCGGCCGACGTGCCACAGCTGGTAGTAGAAGCGCGCGCCCTTGTCGTGCACCGCCTTTATCACCGGCTTCCACGCCGCGATCTGCGCCTCCGTGTAGATCCCCGGGGTGTCGGGGTACCCGTGCGCCTCGGGCGAGATGCACATGCCTTCGGTGAGCATGAGCCCGCCCTTGTGCGCGCGCTGCGAGTAGTAAGTCGAGGCGTTCGGCTGCGGGATGGTCCCGAGGGCGCGGTCGCGCGTCAGCGGCGCGTAGACCATGCGCATCGAGAGCTCCGTGCCATCGGGGAGAGTGAACGGCGTGAGGAGCGGGTTGGCCATGATGCGCGGCGCAGGCGGGTCGACTGAGACGGACAGAGCAGAAAATAGATGGGGGGATGGAGGAGCTCAGCACACACAAATAGAATTGCTATGTGCGATAAGATGCTAGCTGGCAGAAATGGTTTCAGCAGCAGAAGGAATACGTGTAGCGTCAGGTTGAGATCGTTCAGACAACCTGGACTAGTTGATTACTGCACACCGCGACGTGGGCATGTTAGTGTGACTGGGTTACAAGTACAGTGGGAGCTCGGTTTGAAACGGTATTGGTGAGTCGTTTATATATTTATGTGCAAGGAATTTGTTGGCATTCCTTACTGCGTTCTTCAACATCGCGTACAGCTGCTGCCATTGTTCGCCCGTCACTGCTAACGGGGCTTCGCCAACCTCGCGCACACTGTTTTGCCAAACATGCACCACTGGCCTGGCCGAGTCGGCCTACGTCGGGACTAGCCCGAACCTCGATGCCGGCCTAGCACTAGCTAGCTCGCACGCACCGCGTAACCATAGCATGTTTTCACACGTCTTCGCTCATGCCTTTGCTCATACTTTGTACTCGTTTGACACCTATTGCAATCCTCACTATCTCGTTCCATTGCACCTGTAACACTTGATATCCAGAGCCAATTTCCTTTCGGACCGCGCATCTCTACACCCAAAGAAATTGATGTTTTATTTTTAGTCTCGAAGGGACTCATGCTCCATAGCACCTTGGAGCCGCTGTCCTCGCATTCTTTCGTAAACGCATGCAGCCACGACTGCGCCCAGAGCTAAAACGAGCCGCCGCCCTTCGGAATGGCCGAACATCTCGACGTCACGACACTCACGCAGGAGCGCCTAAACGAGCTGTTGCAGCAGCTGTGTGAAAGTTATGAAGAAATCGCGGCGCTGACGGCAGAAAGTACGTCACTGCAAAACGACGTTGCACGAGCACAACAAGCACAGTTACAGACACAAGGCACACACGGACAAGCAGCACGACAGGCTTCACAACACGGAAGTGTCAGAACATTATAGCTTACTTATTTGTGTAGGCTATAGTGGGGTATCCCATAGGGGGTACAACCCAGTTAGGGTTTCATATTTGTACTGCCTTCATTCATAGTTCACACATTCTCTCGTTCACTTCTTCACATGGAATCAGAGCAGGTTCCCCTGTTGGAACTGTGCTTCGGGCCCACCACCTAGAACTTTTTTTTTTCTGCCCTGGCGCCCGCCCTAGTGAGCCGCCCGTTCGCGCCGCCCGTTAGCGCCGCCCGTTAGCGCCGCCCGTGCGGCTGCCCGTTCGCGCCGCCCTTTGCGCAGCCCGTAGCGCCGCCCGTGCGGCCGCCCGTTACACCGCCCGTGCGGCCGCCCGTAGCGCCCCCCCGTGAGCCGCCGCCCGTCGCGCCGCCCGTGAGCCGCCGCCCGTAGCGCCGCCCGTGAGCGCCGCCCGTGAGCCGCCGCCCGTGAGCCGCCGCCCGTGAGCCGCCGCCCGTAGCGCCGCCCGTGAGCCGCCGCCCGTCGCCACCCTTTAGCGCCGCCCGTGAGCGCCGCCCGTGACGTAGCCGCCCGTGAACCGCCGCCCGTGACGCCGCCGCCCGTGACGCCGCCGCTCGTCCCGTCGCCCCCCCCCCCCCCCGTGACGCCGCCGCCCGTCCCGCCGCCCGCCCGTCACGCCGCCCGCCCGTGAGCCGGCGCTGCCCGCGAACCGCCCACCCGTGGGCCTTCAGCCCGCCCGTGAGCTGCCGACGCCGCCCGTGAGCAGCCGACGCCGCCGCCGCCACCCGTGAGCCGCCGACGCCGCCGACGCCGCCCGTGAGCCGCCGACGCCGCTGCCGCTGCCGTCGCCCGTGAGCCGCCGACGCCGCCGCCGCCGCCCGTGAGCCGCCGACGCCGCCGCCGCCACCGAGCTGCCCCAGCCGCCCGTGCCGCCGCCCGAGCCGCCTGAGCCGCCCGAGCCGCCCGGGCCGCCCGCGCCGCCCTAGCCGCCCGAGCCGCCCGAGCCGCCCGAGCTGCCCGAGCCGCCAGAGGAGCTGCTCTCCTGCTCCTGTCGGGCTACTGCTGCTCCTGGGCTGTGTACCTGCGCCGCTGACCTACCCGACTCTTCCTGCCCGGTGAGACTGTCAGCTGCTGTCATGGCCACCCCCAATGTCCTAGCTTTTGACGCTGAGGGTAGAGCCATTGACTTTGCAGTCTGGATTGAGGACCTGCAGCTGTACTTACTGTGTGATGCGGTCGATGAGGTCTCTCTCTCTGACTTTGTCTCTGGAGCTGTCCCTGCCCCTCCTCCTGATGCTGATTCCGCCGTTCGCTCCAAGTGGGCGACCCGCGATGCTGCTGCACGTCTTGCTGTGCGTCGCCACCTCCCTTCCTCCGAGCGTGCCCACTTTAGTCAGTGCAAGACCGCTCAGGCGCTGTAGTTGCACGCTACTCCTCCCCTTCCTCCGCTACGCTGAGCCGCCTCATGCTACCTTTTCTCTTCCCTGACCTCGCTGCCTTTCCCACTGTCGCTGACCTCATTACCCAAAGTGCATACACCGGGATTCGAACCCGAGACCTTCGCTCTGATACCATGTCAGAATCCCAACCACTAGACCATTGGGATAAAAGGGCTTGTTTCAGTAGCGGGTCAGTGCGCCCATAACCCCCCAGGCAAATGTGCCTGTAACCCTTCCCTAGGATCGATCGGGGATCACCAGTGGACCTCTGACACCCCCCCGCACTGGGATGCCCGAAGTGCATACACCGGGATTCGAACCCGAGACCTTCGCTCTGGATACCATCTCAGAATCCCAACCACTAGACCATTGGGATAAAAGGGCTTGTTAAGTAGCGGGTCAGAGTGCGCCCATAACCCCCCAGGCAAACGCGCCTGTAACCCCCCGTATGATCAATCGGGCATCCACAGTGCAGATCTACTGACACCCTTCCTGCTGAGTTCCGCGCCGCCAACCCTCCTCCCATGTACATCACTCTCTACTTTCTTGTCACCCGTCTCCCTGAGTCCCTCCGTGTCGTTAGGGACCAGTTTCTCTCTGTCTGTCCCACCACCCTCACTGTCGACCTCCTTGAGGAGTCCCTGCTAGCGGCTGAGAAGAGCATAGTCGCTGTAGGGGCCTCTCGGGGTGACCCTCGCACCCCCATCTTTGAGGGGTGTTCTCCTTCCCCCCTGCTGCCCTCTGTCGCCTCTGCCGCTGCGGCCGACCTCGCTGGTTTTGAGTCGGTCGGTGCGGCGTCTGCCCCCAGCGGTAGACGCCGCTCTGGCAAGGGCAAGGGGGGCAAGGGAGCGGGTGGAGCTAGAGGGGGCAGTGGCGGAGGAGGTGGGGGTGGCGGGGGGAGTGGGGGTGGCGGTGGAGGTGGTGGCGGGAGTGGAGGTACTGGTGGAGGCGGTGGAGGCGGAGGTGGCGGCGGGGGCGGTAGCGGAGGAGGCGGGGGCGAGGGTACCAGTGGGGGCGGTGGCGGTGGAGACGGGGGCGGTGGTGGAGGCGGGAGTGGCGGTGGCGGCGGGGGTCGGAGTGTCTCGTCCCAGCGCAGCAGCTCTGGGGGTGGTCAGCGCCAGCAGCAGCAGCAGCAGCAGCAGCAGCAGCGCTCTCGCACCGTCCCCGCCCCTCAGCAGCTCCGTGAGTGGTACTTGCAGCGTCAGCGTGGTGGTGCGTTTGGTCCCTGCCCCTACGTTCTTCGCACCGGCGACCGTGCGGGGGAGAGATGTGGAGGCGCCCACACGGCCCGCCGCTGCTTTGGCCGCCTGACCGACGCCTGGCGTCAGCAGTTTCCGGAGGCCGCTGAGATCCCCCGCTGGGGGGAGCTGTCTAGGGCTGGTGTAGCCATTTATGATCTTGACTTTGATGCTATTCTTTCTGCTATGTATGTTGTGACTGGTAGTGATGAGGATGACTGTTACCGGTGTTTCCCGCCCGACCCGGGCATTGGTACTGCTGCGTCAGGTACTAGTGAGGCTGCTGCTCTAGGTGCCAGTGCGTCTGAGCTCTCAGGTACTGGTGAGTCTGCCCTCTCAGGTACTGTGTCGGCTTCGGCCTCTCACACCTTCACACTTGACTCTGGAGCGTCTCGCTCCTTCTTTCGGGACCGCACTACTCTCACGCCGCTGAGTCGGCCGGTTGCGGTGTCCCTGGCTGACCCCTCTGGGGGGCCTGTCCTGTCTCGCTTCTCCATGGTACTTCCGTGTCCGGCGGCCCCCTCTGGCACCCTGTCTGGTCTCTACCTCCCCTCGTTCTCGACGAACCTGGTGAGTGGTGCTGACCTACAGGATGCGGGTGTCCACCAGTTCACTCCTGCTCGTCAGCGGGTGACCCACTGCACGGAGGCTAGCACGGGACGCCACCTGGCTACGTTTACACGTCGGCCAGGGTCGAGCCTGGACACACTGACCACTGCTTCTCCTCCAGGTACTGAGTCTGGTAGGGTCCCTTCGTCTGGTCAGGTGTTTGCCGCAGCGTCCAGGTCTGGTCCTGAGTCTTCCCCCCTTTCGTGTCGTCGTCTGTCTCACGAGACCCTCCTCTGGTACCACCGCCTTGGCCACCCCTCTCTGCTTCGGCTCAGAGGCATGGCCTCCCGTCTTCTTGTGTCTGGTCTCCCCCGGTCTCTACCTCCCCTTCCTCAGGGCCCTGGCCCTGCCTGTGTCCCCTGTGTCGAGGGGCGCCAGCGTGCTGCCCCTCACTCCTCCCAGTTTCCTCCGACAGAGGCCCCGCTGCAGACACTTCACATGGACGTGTGGGGCCCAGCCCGCGTCCTTGGACAGGGCCAGGAGCGCTACTTCCTGCTCGTTGTTGACGACTACTCGCGTTACACCACGGTCTTCCCCTTGCGCAGCAAGGGTGAGGTTACTGAGGTGCTGATCGACTGGATCCGCGCAGCTCGTCTTCAGCTCAGGCAGAGCTTTGGCTCCGCCATTCCTGTGTCCAGGGGTTGCGTGTCGTCTAGACTACGCAGCGAGTCTTGTTGCTGAGTCTGAGTCTGCCTGTCCTCCGTCCGTCGGGGGTGAGTGTGCTCTTGGCACGGAC